AATTACCAAAAAATTAAAAAAAAAATAAAATGTTAAATTTGAATGCAGATTTTTAGAGAATTGCTCCAGAAACATTTAGAGGTGTGCCACATCAAAATCCGATTAAGATAAGTTGAGTTATGGAGTTAAGGACTTCAGCCTTGGGACATTTTTTAATTGTTTTGAATTTCTGCAACGTTATAGATCAGAAAAATAACATTTCCAAATTTGAATGCAACTATCAGATACCTGTTACTCAGCTAGTGAAAGTGCAATCGAGAAATTTCAACATTTTCTGGAATATCGGTAAAAATTGCTTACAAAATTGAAAACAAAATTAAATCTTTCAAACGTGCGGTTGTGACAGTGTTGGGCGGATTGTGGGCGGTAGAGTGGACGTGGCAACATGTGGAAATAAACTTGCGCTGCATCTGTCTCTGTAAACTGTATGCTGAATCTCAACATTCTTTTTTTTTTAACATTATTTATTCAAAAACTTTAGGCGGGTCTCTGGTTTTACTTTCATTATTTCAACTCTTATGAAGTTTATCTTCATCGTTCTATTGATTCCTCACCCATTCGATTGTTTCCCGAAAGTCTTTCACTTTTGTCTGCGACTCTCCTACCTGGCGCATTCATTCATTTTTCACTTGGTATAATCAGCAATCAGAGGGAGGAATTTGCATTTAAGCGGATTTAAGCTGTAATTAAGCACTTTGATTGTCTCTAGCTGGCTGACTGGCTTTGGCTCTAATCCGTTTCCATTCCAGCTTCATAATTTTTCACGCTCAATTGGCCACGACTGTTGGGAGAATCGTTTCGTCCACGTTTTTTTACCCGCCGCATTTGCGCCAAATGCAATTTGTCATTATAAATTTACGTCAGTTTAGGCAAAGGCAAAGAGAAGGGACAGGGGTTCCAGGACGACAGACGCAGCCAAGTTGCACAGAAGTTTGCCTCCGTACGAACTCTTGGCGAAAAAGAAACTACTGCATTTTTCAATATATTTCCAAGTTGACTCTCTTTCTCTCCGCCAAAGTTTTCCCCTTTCTTTTACTTTTCCGTTTCGATTTTGTTATTGTCTTGGCCCTTTTGGTAGTTAGGTGTCGGATTCGCCCCCTTGGGTGGCAAACTTGGCCATGCCGCAGATTGATGGTCATATGAAAAAGTAGTTAACGCCCAATCGAAACTGCAGCCGAAGTCGAAGCCAAAGTAGGGGCTAATTAAGTGACTGAGGGTTAAAGTTTAATATAAATTCCAGTAATCATTTGCCCATTTGCAGCTGCATGAACATTTAAAATGCAATTACGGTGCAGATGCGCAGCACCAGAGACACAAAGGCGAAATAAAGTAGCTCAGATGAGCTCCAGGAATACACCGGAGGGTTCCATTGATGTGGGCATATGCTGCCCGTTGGATTTAGATCATACCATAAGCGGATTAGCGGACAGTGGACACCGGACACCGGACGCTGGACGCTGGACGCTGGACATTCACTGGACATTCAGCAAATTCCGGTTTCTCAGGTAACGGGCAGACATATCAAGCATACGCTCCGTTGTGCAGCTCTAAATTAACAATTTCATTTAGCTGTTTGCCAGCAACTTAATTTATTCAAGTGATGACGTTCCCGACGCCACCGTTTGCTGTCAGCTCGAAAAATTGGCCAAGAAAATGGTTGCGGGAAGGTGGAGCAGTAGTGCCGTCATGGTGGAAATGTGCAGCAGAACCAGACGACGACGACATAATCACCGCTTTGGAGCGCCAAATTTACGCGTTGCAAACGCTCAGCTAAGCTCGGCTCAGGCTAAGTAACATAAAATAAAAGAGGTGGAGTGGTCTGGCCCTCGAAAGGAATCAGGAAGCGTAGAGGGTACAGGCTTGAAGCGCTGAGAGAAATAACTCGGCAGACAAGTATTTTTCAAGTTTAAATCAATATTTGATTTATTCGAATACTATGGCAGAATGGCAGAACCAGCAAATGCAGGTATTACTCGTTTATTTCTATTTACGGATATTACTTGAAGATTTTGTTGTTAATGAATTGCTGATGAATATTAATACGTTTTATGTATTTAAACATCACTTTTTTTGAGTGCACAGCCAGCAGCATTTTCGCTTGGCAGGCGTTGTAGTGGAAGCAGCAGCTTCATCCTGCCCAGGAGATGGCGGCATCAGGAACAGGAGCTCCAGCATCAGCTGCCTTAAGTCCTCTCTGAAGGCGACGTGTGCAAACTTGGAGCTGCTTCCTGCTCCTGCTCCTGCTCCTCGCCTGCTTTTGTTGCAGCTGCCACAGGCGGTTGCCAAAAGAAGCAGACGGATGCGAAGCCCAGAAGGAGATGAAGATGAAGTGGCTGACGGCAGATGGAAGACGGCTGACTGGCAGCGTCTGAGTCGGCACTCTATTTATATTGAATTAAATTTATTGAAAAACCTAATGAGGTATCTTTCCTGCCATCAGTTGCAGCCTCGTTTCGGTTTCGGTCACAGTGCAGCGCCGAAATAGTCGGCAGATTTATGCTTAGACAAATTAATTTATGCAGCAGACAGTTAAGTAAATTACGACAGGCATAAATTGCAAAGCCGAATTGGGAGCGGCAACTTTCGGGGCATTAAAGTAATTTACTAAAATGTACACATGCTTTTGCGGGGGAAGATGACGACAACAAACTAATTGAATTTGCTACTTAGTGAAATGTGAAATGTTAACAACTTTTGTGGTACATTTGCTTGTGAACGTAGGCCGTTGGCTGCAGGCGGTGTGGGCCAACTTTGCCAGCCAACTTTCTTGGCCTTAAAGTGCAGTGGCAGCCATTAAATTTGCGCAATTAACCAGACGCAAGCGGAGACTGTGTGTCTGGCTGGGCCGTAGTTGCTCAACTTTGCTAAACTAATTAAAATGCATATTCTGCTGCAACTTGCACAGCAACATAAATGCGAAAACTTTCGCTCGGTCGCCAAGTAACAGGCAACAATGCAACATGCCAGTGCAAATGGGATAGGTAAACAAATGGCTGCCAGCCTAACTCGTCCAGGATTCACTATCCTCCCATCCTTCCCCATCCCCATCCCCATCCCCATCCCCATGCAAGCGCTGCAAAGGGACGACACGTTGATGACAGTTTTGTCCAAGGCCCCTGCAATTTGTATAACATGCTGGGCAGTTGCTGCCAACTCCTCGCCAGCACCACACTCCTGCTAAAGCATTTTGCTAAAGCAAAACTTTTTGTAAACTCATTAGGGCAGTTGGCCAAGCAGGCAGCCAAGCGACTGCGCTAACCAAACGGGTCAAAGCCGAGCCCAACTGGCCCACCACCGAAGGCAACTTTTTGAAAGAAAACAGCCATCTAGTGACGGCTAAATACACCGCCAGAAAGTTCTTTCTTCTCACAAATTAAATAAAGCTTAGCTCATATAAGAAAACTCCATTGATGATGTTAAATCATCTTTATAAGAGGCGAAAAATTGGAAAATAAAATCTATATTTTGATTATAGCTTTTTTCCGTGTAACAAATGAGCCCGGCCAGTGGAAAAAACAGGGGATAGGAACAGTTGTTGCTTTGCTGCTGGCGCACAAACAGGACTAGGACCACGACCAGGACCAGGACGAGGACCTTTACAGGACACCGGGATAAACAAAAGGCAAAGACCGGGCCAAGATAAACAGGCAACTTCTTATGCAGGCACGGCTTACTGTCGCTTTTCATGCGGCTAAACACGCCCGACGGTGCAGTTGAAATTTTATTTATTGCATTAACTCGAGACCATGGTGTTTCCTGGGCGATCGGCCCGGAAAAGTGGGCGGGGCTCACACCCGTGGGCAGCTCGTAATAAACATAATGAAAATGATGCACATAATGAAGCGCACTAATCGACTGCTGTCGCTTTAAGTATTTATGCCTCACAAGATGGCAATTGATTTAAATTTGGACGTGATGTGGCTGCAATTAAACATGTGAGTATGTATACGTATAAAACATATTTTATAGAAATTAACATATGGGAAAGTGCGCCTTTTGCCGCCAAATTGATTGTGTGGAAAATTTAATGTGCATGCGACATTTTTCATAGCCTACTTTGAAGTGTTTGCAAATTGCATCGCCCACAGACTGCATAATTGCGAGCATATGTAAAACAACACCCCGTGTGTGAATGTGTGTACTTTAATTGTTAACACTCACATTCACTTTGGGCTGAGGTTTCTGTTTGAACATCGCGACTCATTTCAATAATAAAATTGACTTGCTGGCCGCATTATGTGCGCCATTTATTTATTACGGGCTAGCGGGGTTCGGTCGGCATTTATTAATATTATTTGAGCGAAAATAATGATGTTGGTGTTCAGTTAAGTGTAAAGCACTTTGTGAATATTATTTTCCAATTAAAAAATGCTGCCCCAAAAAGTACCCAATCATTCATTGAATACTTTCGTGCAATGGTAAAAATGCCTGTGCCAATCGATGATGGCATTCGAGTTTAATGCACCCGAAGGGCTCATAAATTGCAAAAGACTTGCGGTCCAGAGATAAGGCCCAAGAGCTGAGATGATAAGTCTTGACACGTGTCTATATGTTGCACAGAGCACTCAATTAGTGGCTGCCGCAAATTGGCCTCACTTGATAGTCACATTGAGGTTGCTTCTGTCCACATCCATGACGTTGTCTAAACTTGAGTAGGCGGCAACAGCAGTTCAGACCAGACAGCTAAGTTGTTGCCAAAAATATTTCTTACTCACAATTGCGGTCCAAGTACAGGTCCCAAAAAGGTCAAAATACTGAAAGCCGCTTCAAGCTCTTAATTTAAAATGAATGCATTTATAAGCTGTGATAATTAACACCGGGGAGTTTATTTCATTATATTTTAATCATATTATTATGAACGCTGTGCTTTTCTTAATTATCTGCATTGTGCTTACATAGGTTATTAAATTAATCATTCAATAATGTTAAAGCACATTAAAAACGCACTAATTATAATCAGTGTTCTGGGCATTGTAGTTTCCAATAAATTAGATCCCATCTCCATTAATACGTTTCTATTTTAATATGAGTAGTTATCAATAAACAATACAATTTTATAAATTTATGCAGCCCGCCACTTAAACTAATGACAAAATATACGTTACATGCATTATACTACAGATTTTCAAAACGGTTAGAGGTAATAGAGAATTTTTTGAACTATGCTTAAATCATAGCTGGAAAATATTCGTTGAATATCACTAAATGTACTCCGATGATCACCATCACAATTCCGTGCTCTCCATTTTGGGATTGGCATTCTTGATACCCAAACTTCTTAGCTTGCGGAGTCGCTGAATCTGGTGACGAAGTTTATGCCGGAAGACGATCTGATGATTAACAGTCTTCAGTTCGTCGACGCTGCATCCTTTCAGATTCCGAACCGTTTTGGCCAGCAATGTGTCCGTGATGAAGTACTTTGCCTTGGACAACCTCATGTACTCCACATTTTTCTGAGCAAGTTGCTGGCGGTACAGATAAATGTGATATCCCACATTGGGCGTCCCAAGTGGCTGCTGCTGATAGCGATGTTGCTGCTGTTGTTGGGCGGCAATTGCTGCGGGTTTGCTGTCGCATTCGTTGATGAGCTTCTGGTAACGCGGCATTTTTGTTCGATTTGTGCGGATAAGTATCTAAAAAAACACAAAGACCGGTGTGGATTTCCTTAGCAAGTCGATAGCACTCCGTTGCTGCTTCTGTTGCAGATTTTCCAGGTTGCGAATAATGATATCCGATGTTGCTTGACCAACGTTGGCAGAAAGATTGATGTCCTGTCCACAGCCACACTAGTTTTTATACATGCCAGCTAGCCACATCCTGCTGCCTGCGTGTACCTGACCTTTTGGAGTCCCGACTTTTTTGACCATGGACAAAAAGTTACCTGCGCCTTACCTGCACTTTTGACTTATGCCCCTCTCGGATGGCGTAATAAAAAACAATTCATTCTTAATCTGCTGGCCGTCGTAAAGTTTTAGTATTTTGCAAACACTTTCATTCTTAATCCGTTCCACTAATCCGCCCACGCGGCCGCCCGGGCAATTTACAACAAAAAATATATCTCAACTGGCGCGTATAAAAAGATTAAGTGACATTACACAACGTATTTTCCCGAGCAGCTGAAAAATTTGCATGCCTCTGTCGGATGAACAAGCATTTTCCTGCCGCGGAAAAAGGGTGAATTGCAGCGAAGGATGCTAAGGATAACTGCTGAACAGGATTAGCGACCGGAGACAGCTGCGACACCTTTAAGAATTTATTAATGATCTCTAGGAAATACAGCAGACGTCTGTCTAGGTGATCGATATGCATAATGACAGTCATAACTGAGAAAAATTGCTCACTAATTTACTTTTTAAAAATGTCATAAACATTATATGCTGACTTAACTCTGAACACATTAATTAAGGCGATATAAAAGTGTAATATGTAAATGAGCTAATATTCCCTATCTATTACCAACATATAAATAGCCGAACAGTCAGCCATTCAACCGTCTCACATTTTGCATTTTTGACTTTCATTTTTATGACTTTGGAACATAACTGCATTGTCAGTCCAAAGTGCACTCAGGAGAAAATGGAATGGAAAAATGTCGCCTGGATTTAAGGGCAACTTTTTTATATTTTCACATTTCTTTCCTTTGCATAAACCATCATGTCAAATTCCAGATCAAATAACACAAAGTTCAACCTACTTTTCCGCTCTAAAATAAATACGTGGCAACAAAAATAAAAGTAATCAGTTGAGACAGCTAAGAAGTGAGGTGAAAAAATCAAGGGGCGGGGAATGAAAGTGATAGACCTCTGGCAAAATTATGGCAAACTTTTGCTTCTTTCCCATTTTTTTTTTCTTAAAATGTAACGAGACGAAACGAAACTTTTCAAAGTTGAATGTTGAAATAAGCAATTTTCGCGTTCAACTATAGAACATATATACATAGGGCGAGTGCCAGACTAGACAAGTAGGACTGGCGGAAAAATACAAAAAAAGATTGAAAAGTAATTGCATTCAAGAGCTTGTAGTTAAAAATTTATGGCCATAGTGCCCAAGAATCTAGGGAAAAGGGCACAACGAATGAAAAAATGAAGCTGATGCTAGTGTTTTTGCTATTGCTTTTGCTTTGCTGCTGGGAAATATTGAAAATGTAATTCCAACTGTTGTCTGCCCCGCCGATGGTAATTGCAAAGACCGGCAGCTCGAACGGCGGTATTACCAACGGAACAGCGAAAGCAGCAGTTCGAAATAAAAGTAAGTTAAATTGAAAATGAAATGCAATCAGCCTGAGCTCTTTCGCGCACTTCCTTGGCCCCCAGATACTGTATCTAAGCTTGTATTTCCATCTTTATCCGCTGGATGCAGCTCCATTTCGCAGCTGCATTATTAACGCAAGGTGTGAACATTTTGGCCGTGTAATTGACACAGAAACATCTACTGCTTTTTCCCTAGAAAATAACAGCGTCAACATATTCAAAATAATAACTAAATTTGTTTTAATTGGAAAATGAACACGTTGGACGAAATATCTCTTTCAGTTACGGATCTTCCTTGCACATTTAATTAACAGAGAAATGCACATACAATATTTCGTTGCCTATACCATTGGTATGCAAGTATTGTTCTATCTAGCATGGTTTTGTATTGCTTTCTTGCAGTGCAGTTTGCAGGCAATTTTTTGCCCAATTTATGATGGGCAAACACTCAATGCCCACTTTCTGGCCTCGTTTAATGGCTTATTTTCCAGGGATATTTGTGCAAATTTTCCTCTCCATCTGGCTGCACATTACCCCATGCACAAGTGCGCTCTGTGTAGCTCCGGGTTTTGGCCAAGCCGTATGCTTAGCAGAGTGCACAATGAAATTGAAACATATTAAGTTGAACTTCTGGTCCACAGAGCGACAGACAGGTATTGCCGATGAGTTTGCTCAAAGGCAAATTGAATTGTACTCGTATGCAGAAGTGCTTAAAGCCTTGCTCAACTCAACAGGATTTTACCCAGATATATGGTGTCACAACACTGGGAGACACAAATGCAGCACTCTCGACACTTATCGCCCAATCAAAATGTCATAAATCAACTGACGGGTCTGCGCGTTTGATTTGACAGCTAGTGAAGTGCCAGCTAAGCGTTAATTTGCGAGTCTCTACTACACTGCTACTCGGTGTTTGGTATAAATCACATCAAATGACAATTAAAGCGCTATTCAAAGTCAAATGCTGCATTCGAATGCAGGGCACATGCGAAAAATGCAGCCGGCGAATTTTGCGGATTAAAAATTGGAACGCGGACTGGGTGGGGTATTGTGGTGGCAATTAATTAAGGCAAACCTCAGCGACATCGCTCAAAAGTATGCAACACACGAACCGCAAAGGCAATGAAATATTGCAATCACTAAAAGAATGAAAAGCCACCGAGAAGGAAAAAGGAAAGGGGTAAAAAGGGGCCTGGCACTTGGTTAGTCGCAAAATCCGGAGACGCTTGCAGCTTTCGGTTTCCCATCTCCAACTGTGGCTTCTTCTCTTCGCAGTCGTCTTCTCGGTTGGCTGGCTGACGCCCGCTTGCCAAAATTAGTTTCTGTGTCAAAAGTTTGAAATGAGCAAGCTCCTCTGGGCCTCCAGTGCACGGAGAGAAATTTTATATTTTTCGTGTGTCTATACTCCATGGGAGTTTGGTTTTCACAACTGACTGTTAAGCTTACTCAGTTTATCTCAACATTAATATTTTTTTGGCATTTAAAAGTAATATCTTTTTGATGTGTTCTTGTGCGATGTTTATGTTTATTCCTAATTAAGTGTATATTTTCGCATTGATTGGGATTGTTGTAGCTCAAAACAATTATTAGCTTGCGAACACAAAATATTTGTGGGTGATGTCCAGTTTCTTCGCGTGCCAGCGTCACCCAGTAAAAACTAACCAACGGAAGCCAAAGGAAAAACTACTTGGCAAAGGGTGAGAGGACAAAGTTTGCGCTGCGCTGATGTAGTTAAGAATTGGCAGCAAATGCTGCTTAATTTCAAAAGAAACTTTACGTATTTGTCATGCGGCGCACATTCATTGCGGTGTTCATTTGAGCGCTTATTCAGGCAGTGCCAAAATAAGAAGGCAAAAAAAAAAGTGAAGAAAATCCCTGGCCAAAATCCCAAGCTAGCAGACATTGACAAACGTTGCCTTGGTCGCCCGACAAGACGACGATGACGATGCTTCTGCATTGGACACTCGCTTAATAATTCATCAGAATCATATCAGAATCGGAGTCGTGCTCAAAGAAGTGCCAATACCAGAAGTGTGGGTCGGCGGAATATTCACGTTAATTTGCGGTCGCCGAGTAGCGAATGCGGTCACCATCTTCGCACTCTTCCAAAAGGCACTTGTGCGCCTCATTTCCTGTGGCCGAATGCCATTTGACTTGCAGTTTCCGTTTCCGTTTCAATGACGCTTTGATTGGCCTTGCGGTATCCGCTCCACCCCTCCCTCACTTCAAAGTGCTCGACTCTCAAGCGATAATTATTTGTGTGGGCAACGAGTCTAGTTTCTTCGCTGACCGCATCGCAAACTTTCGAGGTTGCCACGCACTTCAGATGCGCGTTTACTTTGGTCAAGAGCAACGGAGTTCTTTTGGCCACGCTTAATGAGTGATGCTAATCGCTGGCCACCACTGAGGTAAATTTAGTTTAATTTAAGGAAAGCCAAGTCCATCGGCAATTTCTGCTAGTTGACATTGTATAAGACTGAACGCTTATAGATTTTCCCACCAGGTAGGAAGTATTTAATCCCAAAAGTAAACTTTTTCATTGCTAACTAAAAACAAACAACAATACGAGTATGCACTAGAAGGCCGTCAAAGTAGTTCGGCGATCTCGCTCGCTGATCCAATTTGCCCCTCGAACGGAAGGAGTAAATACATATTTGGACTGTAAATCCAAATTTGTTTGAGTGCGGCACACAAAATAGCCAAAATAAACGAAAGCGTCTCTCAAAAGAGCAAATACAATAAAACTGATTAAATTTGACTCGATGAGCCATGCAAATACGTGCAGAATATTGAGATATTCGCACCTTATCTCACCTGTTCAATCTCGGTGTCTTGGCCGTTTTTCAATGGTTTTTCTGCGACTGTTGCTGTTGCCTTTTTTAATCTGAAAGTACACATAAATATATTGTTATCTTATTAGTGCGCTGAGTGCTTTGCAGTCTATATGTGTGGATTCATGTGATAATTGAATTTTCGGCATCGACAGCGGCATCGCAATTGCACAATTGCAATCTTTACGTTTAATTTAGCCGCTGAAAGTTGCGCACAATTAAGCAGCGATGCAAGGCCTGAATTTATTTAATTTTATTTCGCATCTATTTGTATTCGTGGCTGAATTTGCATTGGGTACTCAGCAGATAAACAAACACGCTCCGTGCCTATCGCATCGGATGGGGAAATTCCGGACTACACCCATATACTACACGAGTACACCGCTGGATCCACGGAGAGAAGTGGAAAACTTCATTATCATAGTATGCTGTTGTATTTGGGTGCAAGTGCGGGTGCGTGGGCGCTGATTTCTTTTGGCCATAAACATTTCCGGGCCGAGGTTGCCGAGGGATGCAGTCGTGTGTGAAAATGATTTTAAAATTGGCGCTGAATTGTGCAAATGCAAAGACAATCAAAAGGCAATGGGCGTTGATTATAATGGCGGAAACAAAGCAAACGCAAAGCGGGCAGAGGGGGCTTTTGGTAAAGTGAAATTTTGACAGCTTTTAATTGTGCACCGATGCGAGCAATGTTGCCGAATATATATATGTACACAT